AAAGGCTAATTGATAATTAGAAAACCCTTTTGCAATTATGTTAGCACAGCTGAAAACGGTTGTGCTGATTAAAGAAGCAATAAAACTGGCCTTCTTGAGACTAGTTGAGTAACTGGAGCATCAGCAATTGTGGGTTCGATTACAGGCTCAAAATGGCCAGAAACAAATAACTTTCTTCTGAAACTTGTCAGTCTATTCTTGTTCTGAGAAATGAAGGCTATTCCATGCGAGAAATTGCCAAGAAACTGAAGATCTCGTACAACGCTGTGTACTACTTAATTAAATAGTACCCGCAAAACACCAGTCTCAACGTCAACAGTGAAGAGGCGACTCCGGGATGCTGACCTTCTAGGCATAGTTGCAAAGAAAAAGCCATATCTCAGACTGGCCAATAAAAAGAAAATATTAAGATGGGCAGTCTGAGATAGAAAGGTTATGATTAGTGACCATATCTCAGACTGCCCATCTTAATCTTTCCTTTTTATTGGCCAGTCTGAGATATGGCTTTTTCTTTGCAACTCTGCCTAGAAGGTCAGCATCCCGGAGTCGCCTCTTCACTGTTGACGTCGAAACTGGTGTTTTGCGGGTACTATTTAATGAAGCTGCCAGTTGAGGACCTGTGAGGCGCCTGTTTCTCAAACTAGACACTAATGTATTTGTCCTCTTGCTCAGTTGTGCACCGGGGCCTCCCACTCCTCTTTCTATTCTGGTTAGAGCCAATTTGCGCTGTTCTGTGAAGGGAGTAGTACACAACGCAGTACAGTTTCTTGGCAATTTCTCGCATGGAATAGCCATCATTTCTCAGAACAAGAATAGACTGACGAGTTTCAGAAGAAAGTTATTTGTTTCTGGCCATTTTGAGCCTGTAATAGAACCCACAATTGCTGATGCTCCAGATACTCAACTAGTCTCAAGAAGGCCAGTTTTATTGCTTCTTTAAATCAGCACAACAGTTTTCAGCTGTGCTAACATAATTGCATAAGGGTTTTCTAATGATCAAATAACCTTTTAAAATGATAAACTTGGATTAGCAAACACAACATGCCATTGGAACACAGGACTGATGGTTGCTGAGAATGGTCCTCTGTACGCCTATGTAGATATTCCATATTTGTTTTAATCAGCCGTTTCCAGCTACAATAGCCATTTACAACATTAGCAATATCTACCGGTACATTGTATTTCTGATCAATTTTATGTTATTTTAATGGACAAAATAAATTGTTTATTTCGAAAACAAGGACATTTCTAAGTGACCACAAACTTTTGAACGGTAGTGTATATCGGTAGTGTATATATGCGTTTACGAGCTGCAGAGAGATGCCAGTATGAGGCTAGCTCAGACGGCTAGGTTGGCAATGACAGCTCTGGTGAACTCGTCGCTTGTAGCATAGCCCCCCAGGTCTCCTGTGCGCACCTGCCACAAATAAAAAGTGTGTTACACACACACACTGCTGCAACATATGCATCTGGTCCATTCACACAGGCAAATGGCCTCACAAACCCATACAAACATGACTAGTGTGTAAGAGAGCCTTTCTCACCACCAAACTCAGACATATTAATATAGGGGAATATTGGGTTATTTTGAAGCAACTTAAAGGAAAATTCCACCCCAAAAAATACATTTTTGTTTCGTCAGTCCATTGCTGACAGTCCCAAAATGATTTGCTTGTCAGCAATCACATTTTCGATATGTAACTTTCAAAATACAGAAATCCTCCCCGTATGATGCAAAATGCAGTTGTTCCTAACTGCAAAATGCATCATATAGGGAGGATTTGTGCATTTTGAAAGTTACCTTTGCTCCACCACTCATCCAAGCACTAAAAAATGTAACATTGTGTGTGTCATGCCTTTGATTTAAAATAAATATGCATTCTACCCCTTTTGAGAAACATATAGGCCAACATACATTTTTCCATATTTTATTCTTCTTTAGTATTTGACCATGATGATAACATCTTTAATAACAACAAAAGGTCTGTCAGCCATTGTAACAGTTAGGGAACCAGGTAGGCGTGTTATCAAGTGCTAATTCAAAGATCCAATATTATAATCCCAGTACAATAGCCATAACCATTATAAAAGTTATACATAAACTTTTACGTACCCAGAACAGCACTTTGAAGCATACACTATATATACACAAAAGTATGTGAACAACCCTTTAAATTAAATTAGTGTATTCGGCTATTTCAGCCACACCCGTTCAGCCACACCCATAGACAAACATTGACAGTAGAATGGCCTTACTGAAGAGCTCAGTGACTTTCAACGTGGCACCATCATAGGATGCCACCTTTCCAGAAAGTCAGTTCGTCAAATTTCTGCCTTGCTAGAGCTGCCCAGTCAACTGTAAGTGCACTTATTGTGAAGTGGAAACGTCTAAGAGCAACAACGTCTCAGCTGCAAAGTGGTAAGCCACACAATCTCACAGAATGGGACCGCCGAGTGCTGAAGCGCGTAAAAATGGTCTGTCCTCAGCTGCAACACTCACTACCGAGTTCCAAACTGCCTCTGGAAGCAACATCAGCACAATAACTGTTCATCGGGAGCTCCATGAAATGGGTTTCCATGGCCGAGCAGCCTAAGATCACCATGCGCAATGCCAAGGGTCGGCTGGAGTGGTGGAGCGCCGCCATTGGACTCTGGAGCAGTGGGCCCCGTGTAGCTCAGTTGGTAGAGCATGGCGCTTGCAACGCCAGGGTTGTGGGTTCGATTCTCAAGGGGGGCCAGTATGAAAATGTATGCACTCACTAACTGTAAGTCGCTCTGGATAAGAGTGTCTGCTAAATGACAAAAAATTTAAAAAATGAAACGCGTTCTCTGGAGTGATGAATCATGCTTCACCATCTGGCAGTCCGACAGACGAATCTGGGTTTGGCGAATGCTACCTGCCCCAATGCATAGTGCCAACTATAAAGTTTGGTGGAGGAGGAATAATGGTCTGGGGCTGTTTTTCATGGTCTGGGCTAGGCCCCTTAGTTCCAGTGAAGGGAAATCTTAACGCTACAGCATACAACAACATTCTAGACGATTCTGTGCTTCCAACTTTGTGGCAACAGTTTGGGGAAGGCCCATTCCTGTTTCAGCATGACAATGCCCCCGTGCACAAAGTGAGTTCTATACAGAAATGGTTTGTCGAGATCAGTGTGTAAGAACTTGACTGGCCTGCACAGAACCTCAACCCCATCGAACACCTTTGGCATGAATTGGAACGCCGACTGCGAGCCAGGCCTAATCGCCCAACATCAGTGCCTGACCTCACTAATGCTCGTGGCTGAATGGAAGCAAGTCCCCGCAGCAATGTTCCAACATCTAGTGGAAAGCCTTCCCAGAAGAATGGAGGCTGTTATAGCAGCAAAAGGGGGGACCAACTCCATATTAATGCCCATGATTTTGGAATGAGATGTTCGACGAGCAGGTGTCCACATACACTACATGACCAAAAGTATCTTACCAAAAGCCAATATATTTGAAGTCCCAATGACTGGCTGACGCATGCCAGTCTAAGTCGCCAGTAGCATGCCACCACTCTGATATCATCATCATAACCAATATATCATGGAACTGACATTTGGCATATACAGTACAAAAACAGAAAAGTCAATGGTCTGACATGATCAAATGGTTTCCCTTGTGAACTCAGGCAAAGCAGGTCATAGGCTCGGGTTACACTGGCTTGTTCGTTTGTCAAATGTAATGTTGAAAAAGCTTAGCTTTGAATAGACACACACAATGGAACTCCAACTCCAGCAAAGGGCTCCCAAGATAGTGACCTTTACGATACACTGTGTGCATTTTACAGCATACACAGCAGACAGAATATTAAGACATTCATTCTCTTTTAGTAACTAGTGATTATGACTAGAGTATGAGTGAGAAAGGTTAAATTAATTTAGCCAATTTCACAGTTCGGCTTGTTAGCATCCCTGCTAACACAACAATATGAAAACATTGATTTTAAATGGTGAACATTTTCTCCCTTCTCAGGAATGACCTCCGTATCCTGCTGATTTTAAGACAGTGGCGGTGATATGCGTTAGTGAGAAACACTTTCACGTTTATGATGACTCAGTGGAAACCAGTCTAGATGTGTTTTTTTGTTTTTTTAACAATAACAGGTTTTCTTGAGGTGACTGTAAGGCTGTTATTGCAAAAGGCCAGTTAAGGAATACAGTTGGTACCAAGGTATCCTTTGTCTATGGACACGCTGCACATAGTCAGAGTTATGAACAAGGCCTGCCACAACTCATTGCTGTGAAATTGAAGACCTGAAAGTCCACTTATGCAGTGATAAAGATTTCACTTGCTTTGGCGTTGGTAAATTGCCCTCGTGGCACAAAACCAGCTTGACCAATACTGCTGAACAACCTGCAGCGCAACCAGTGCGGACTGCAAGGCTAGACTAGCGGTGATCAATTTCATATAAAATCATATGCATGTCCACAGCACAAACAAGGAAACAGTGTAGAGAGAAGGCAGAGTTGGAGAGTAAAGTGAAGGAGGTGGTAGCCGACAGATACAGAGAACACTATAGAGAGGTAGTAGAGAAAAGTCTAGCTGAGAGAAGAGTGCAGCAAACAGCAGAGGTAGTACAAAAGAACCGGTTGACATGGAGTTGGAGAAAGGGTTCCGCAAGGAAAAGACTGGGACAAAATAGAGAAGGCCACAGCAGCATAAATGGACGATTTGGTAAAAACCAATAATAAAAAAATAAGATTAAATGCAGAGAGAATTAATTGCTTTGGCTGAATCGAGGGTATTCAAATTTGAACAGGAAACAGAAAACTTTATAGAGGATACGCAGAGCGTGTTGTGAGGAGGAACGAGAGCTGCCTAGAGTGACGTAAGGAGGTAAGGAGTGTTAGTTTAGTGGGACAGTGAGCAAAATAGCTGTGGCAAAGTTATTAGGGGATATATGGCACTATGGGGTTCAATATATCCAGATTATATTTGGTTGGCCGTCCAGTTTAGGGTAAAGGGCAGGGTCTTCTTTAGTACGTGGGTCGGTGGCGGAGGTTCCCCACAACGGCTTGCACAAAGTCCCCGGTCGTGCTGTAACCGCCCAGGTCTCGCGTCCGCACCTGGGACACACACACACAGACAGGGTGCAGGGGAATAGGATGAGAATACTTCAGACACTAGCGCAGGGATAGGTTCAGACACTAGCGCAGGGATAGGTTCAGACACTAGCGCAGGGATAGGTTCAGACACTAGCGCAGGGATAGGTTCAGACACTAGCGCATGGATAGGTTCAGACACTAGCGCAGGGATAGGTTCAGACACTAGCGCAGGGATAGGTTCAGACACTAGCGCATGGATAGGTTCAGACACTAGCGCAGGGATAGGTTCAGACACTAGCGCAGGGATAGGTTCAGACACTAGCGCAGGGATAGGTTCAGACACTAGCGCAGGGATAGGTTCAGACACTAGCGCAGGGATAGGTTCAGACACTAGCGCAGGGATAGGTTCAGACACTAGCGCAGGGATAGGTTCAGACACTAGCGCAGGGATAGGTTCAGACACTAGTGCAGGGATAGGTTCAGACACTAGTGCAGGGATAGGTTCAGACACTAGCGCAGGGATAGGCAACTCCAGTCCTCTGGGGTCTGATTGGTGTCACACTTTGGCCCCAGCCCCAGCTAACACAACTCACTCCAATAATCAACTAATCATGATCTTCAGTTTAGAATGCAATTGGTTTAAAATCACATGCGTTTGCTAGGGACGGGGGAAAGGTGTGACACCACTCTGGCCCCTGAGGACTGGAGTTGCCCATCCCTGCACTAGTGAATTGACAAACAATATATTTTCTCCCACATTCACTCTGCACCATGGTGTGTTGCCCATGCACCTGCCTAGGAACCATGGTATTAGTTAGGGTTAGAGCTGCTGCTATTAGTCCTAATACGGGCTGGAGCGCAGACTACAGTTAGTCCATCTTTGTTACCAGTCAGTTTCTATGGTCACAAGAACACTGTACAGCAGGACACACACAGAGTGGTGTACAGGATTCCACCCACGTCAACATGCACAATCAAAAGAAAAGGCTCTCTCACACACAAGGATATGGGTTATTGCTTATTAGGTGTATTTTCATTGGTAAATGCAATTTGAGGGTCAGGAAATTATGTTTTGATCAGAGTATGTTTTTACACTTTTCATCCATAAAAATTATTTTTAGATTTGATGCACAAAACGCATATACATATCGCAAAAACTCAACCGTGTGCTCTCCCATCCAACTGTAGAATTAGTACATGCACACAAACCAACAGGATTTAATAGTGTTGATTCAATATAGTCACACTCTCTTACCTTGCCCTGTTTGATGACCCTCCTGACAGCGTCTGACACCATGTTGGAGTGGTATTCCAGGCTGTAACACAAAACAGTCAGTTGAGGTTAGTGCACACAAACACACACACACACACATCCCATTGGAAGCGGTGCCCACTCACTTGAGGTGATGGAGCATGTTGGCAGCGCTGAGCAGCATGGCCGTGGGGTTGGCGATGTTCCTACCCACAGCCTGGGCAAAGGGGTGCCGCGCTCCCTGAGACGAAGAGAGGCCATTAAACTTCTCATGCCATTTTACCTATGCTTGGGTCTGTAATGTAACAACTGTACGATTGCAGCAGACTGGTTAAGTTGGATCTCAGGCAGACAGACACTCACGGTCTCAAACACGGCGTACTCTGCACTATAGCTCTCTCCTGGCACCACTCCTGCCCCACCAACCAGCCCAGCTGCCAGGTTGTCAATGATGTTGCCATAGAGGTTGGGCATCACCAGCACGTCAAACTGGTATGGGTTCTGGACCAGCTAGAGAGAGAAGCAGTGAGTGAGTGCATGTTTGTGTGAGTGAGTGTGTGTGAGTGTGCGCAAGCAAGAGCGAGAGAGGGGCGTACCTGCATGCAACAGTTGTCTATGATAATGTTCTCGTATTTGATCTTGGGATACAGCTCTGCCACCTCGGCGCAGCACTGTAGGAACAGGCCATCTGCAAGCTTCCTGTAGAAAGGCAGAAGGAGACAAAATCAGTTGGCTGTAGTTGGATAAGATGTGTAGAAGCCTTTAAAAAAATAAGTTTTTTCTGGCACCGAGACTCACATGATGTTGGCCTTGTGGACCGCCGTGACCTTGCTGCGACCCTTCTTGGTGGCGTAGTCGAAGGCAAACTTGGCGATGCGCCGAGACTTCTCCCTGGTGATGATCTTCAGACATTCGATCACTCCAGGCACACTCTGCGAGACAGAGAGCACAGAGTTCAGATCAGGAAAAACTTCCATCAGACCGTGGTTTGACCATGGTGTTAGAGCGCTTATGTGTGGTCATACGTGGTCGTGTTCTTTCCAGTGTACAATGCCTCATGCATGTTGTTATGCATGATTTCAATGTGTATTAGTCATACAACAAACTAATCAAAAACATGGTAGATTTCCATGAGGACCAGGTCAATTGACTTTAGTTAGCCAGGCCCCCCAGGGTGAGTGGATATTTCCCTTTAAGACCAATGAATAGTGCTGAGCGATTAGTGCTTTTTGAAGTCGGTTCGGTTTCGGTTCGATTATTTAAAAAATAATCACTATGCATTATGTGGGTTGAATGCTGTAACACAGAATAAAACGATTAATAAAAGTCCCATGATGGTAGTGACTGCCCATTACTGCTTATCACTTATTAACCATCATTTATTCACATTATTTAATCAAATATTACATTTGTTTTATTTCATGACTTATTTCATTCCAATTCATCATCTCACCTCTATAGAGCTTGCCTATGCTGTCTGACAAAATCACTATTTTAGTTATTCTTCAAAGTAAATAAGGCATACTTTTAGGACTGCTGAATACCAACCATCAATCATATAGATCATTTATTTTCAGGTAGATACCTCGAAGCAACTGCTCTCTATCCCTCTCGATCGTGCATTCTTCTGTCTCCTCTCTCTGCATCTGGCCCACACTAACCTAACATAGCAGGCGTAAAAGAAACAGACTGGATAAGTAGGCACGCAATGGATTATTGTCATTGTAGTTAATTACCATGTTTCTGTACTAAACTGTCAAATATTGGCCTGCTGGAAACTACAACTCCCTACTACATCGCACCGTTCGTCTGTTAAATGACAAATGTAAAAAAACTGATTTAAAATATTTTTACTGACATTGGTCCATTAGTTGTTTAAAAAACTGAAAATAACAGACATTTAGGTTAATCGCTCAGCACTACCAATGAAATGGTCTAAAATGGGCAAAATCCACCCAACTGGCGCCCTAGGTGAGCTAAAACAAACACACCCATTGTTTGGTTGAGTGGCAATATGTGGTGATGTACCTCGTGCTCCAGAGAGCTGTACTCTCCCTCGGTCTGCTCTCGGATAATGACCAGGTCCAGGTTGTTGTGGCGGGTGCTGTAGCCAGGCAGACTGTTCACGTGGACCACGTTGGCAAACAGGTCCAGCCTACGCCTGAGGAGAGCTTCACTAATGAGAACAGCCAACCAGCCAGCCACACACACACACACACTATGACAGCCATACAACATGTGGACCGTGGCCCGGATCCGGAACCAGAACGGGGTTAATAATCGAAGGGAACTTAAGTCTGGCTTTCAAATGAATGTGGTTGAAAGTTGTAATAATAGAATGCACAAGATGCAATTTTGAAATGTGTTAGTGCATGGGCAGGTTTCCTCTTGTTATGCCATTCACTGACAGACCTTAAAGAGCTATTTCCTGTCAGAAATTCCCAGTTGATCAACTAGCCCATGTTACCTAGGTGGGCAAGATAGCCTATCTAAATATTGTAGTTATCATGGCCAGATGATGTGCCCATAGGGGCCCACATTGATTTTGTTGATTCACTCAGGTATCATATGAACACACATAAGAGTGGCACCCGAGTGGCGCAGTGGTCTAAGGCACTGCATCGCAGTGCTAGCTGTGCCACTAGAGATCCTGGTTCGTATCCAGGCTCTGTCGTAGCCGGCCGCGACCGGGAGACCCATGGGGCGGCGCACAATTGGCCCAGCGTCGTCCAGGGTAGGGGAGGGAATGGCTGGCAGGGATGTAGCTCAGTTGGTAGAGCATGGCGTTTGCAACGCCAGGGTTGTGGGTTCGATTCCCACGTGGGGCCAGTATGAAGAAAAAAAAATGTATGCACTCACTAACTGTAAGTCGCTCTGGATAAGAGCGTCTGCTAAATGACTAAAATGTAAAATAAGACATGGCAAAATGTGTATAAGTGCAGGAAATTAGCTTAAAAACTGCACTTTTTTAAAATTTCCAACAAAAGGGGGTGTGAACAGTTTGGGGTCGCGAAGTGGGGGTTTGTTGCCATGTCAATAAAGACAATATCCATGCGGACCTTTGCCACCTAGGACATTTGTGTGACTGGACCTTCCCAAATAGTAGTTGAGTACCCCATGCACTAGGAGTTCCCATTACCTTACAATTGCATTGATTGTGTTGGATTCATGTTGGCTTGCTCCAGTAAGAGTTGTGGTGGCGTTAGATCTAATATGGCCTTACCTGATTTTCATCTCAAAGCCGGCCAGCTCCCCTTTGAACTCCATGGGGGTGTTAATCTTTCCTACACACACACACAGAGAAAAGAAAACCCAGTCAGAACACACTGATCTGATAAAAGCAGACAAAAGCAAATCTCCCGCATAGGAAATGAGAGGAGACAAGGAAGTCTGTTACCTTTCATGGCCACCCTGTTGGTCTTCATGGAGGCCAACACCTGCTCCAGCTTCTCGTCGCTGTCCATGTGCTGCACCTCACTCAGGTGAAACTCCTCAAACTCCACTGGGACGTCAGCCGCCTGGAGGGGGATGGAAAGGGATAGGCAGGGTTAAGGGTAGAAACAAGGAGATGAAACAAGGGGACGAGAAACAGGATGGACATATTGAAGATGTATGAATCAAGGAGTGAGCGAATGAATGGGCTACAATAAATGTTATAAATTAGTCCTGCATATTCAGTTATCAATATACACAGAAAGTATTGGATTGAGCTCAGAGCACGCTTGAAGCATGGTGCAGACAGAGCCTCCCGAGTGGCGCAGTGGTCTAAGGCACTAGAGATCCTGGTTCGAATCCAGACCCAGGGGGCGGCACACAATTGGCCCAGCGTCGTTCAGGGTAGGGGAGTGAATGGCCGGCAGGGATGTCGCTCAGTTGGTAGAGCATGGCGTTTGCAACGCCAGGGTTGTGGGTTCGATACCCACGGGGGCCAGTATGAAAAAAACAACAACAAAAAGAAAAAAAAACATGTATGCACTCACTAACTGTAAGTCGCTCTGGATAAGAGTGTCTGCTAAATGACTTAAATGTAAATGTGCAGGCAATATCAAGATATATGTTTTCTGTTGTATTTTTGACTTTATGTTTTGTTTACCCCATATGTAACTCTGTGTTGTTGTTTTTATCGCACTGCTTTGCTTTATCTTGGCCAGGTCGCAGTTGTAAATGAGAACTTGTTCTCAACTGGCTTACCTGGTGAAATAAAGGTGAAATTTAAAAATTTAAAAAAAAAATAACAAAATATGTGGCCCGTGTGGGAACGGAACCCACTAATGTGTGTGTTGACTGCACACTGTTTTGATGGAAAAGTGACCATCCGGTCTTGAGTGTGTGGGTGGGGGGCTGCCGAGAGAGGGTCATGAGCGTGGGGGTGAGGTGCGGTGAAGGCTTAAGTAACAGGATACCTGGAGTGGAATGTGCCAAGGATACGAGTTAGTTAGCTAAATGTCAACAGAGGGACCAGACATCCACACCAATGCACTCTTAAGGCGCTTTCACATATCTCTGTATAATCCGGATCCTGGAGCAGTTGGCATCTTAATCTGCGCTATAAAGCATGTGTGAAACACAAACGAACCCTGGCTGAAACGAATGCTTGACCTGCGTGAGTAGCAGGTACAAGATCCAGAGTACCAGGTATTTTGATGCAGCAGCGCAGAACTTTTTGCCCATTGTAAACAAGCGAGCTTGCTAATGTCATGTAGAATGCACATCTCACAAATCGCATCCTGAAACGGTTATTTTCAAGACTTGTGAAAACAAAACGTATTTTGTAGAATTCTCACTAACGCTCCAGGAAACCGAACTAAACCTTAGACACATCGTCTCTCCTGGTCAGCCTTGAGAAAGGGGAGCCCCCATACTGTACATACCTTGAAAACCTCCTTCACAGCAGTCATCAGCTCAGGTCCCACTCCGTCCCCAGGCACCATAGTGACCTTGAAGGTGGCGTCGGCGCGGGCTGGCGGCGCCTCAGGCCCACCCAGACAGGCCGTCATACTGAGGGGCCGGGAAGCCAGCTGCTGCCACCGCGGGCCAGTACCAGTCAGGCACTAGAACAGGACACAGTAGTAAATTAGCTCTACCGTACAAAGTAGGCATTATCAGAATGTCTCATCTGATGGCATCACCATTAGCATCACAGTGTCAATACAACTTCAAGACAATGGGGGTTGCTTAGACCATAAGCATGGTCCCCCCACCAATTCCACTAGAAAACTGGACCGTGTTCAGGCAGGAAGAACATTCTGAATAAATGTAATGTATCTTGATGATAGGATAAGGGAGACATAATTCAGAACGTTTTAAACTATGTAGGGACAGGCTATAATAATCAATTTGCGCTAACTAACTTTATGCTGGTCTCTCGTATCAGAAGACAGCCCACAGACATGTGGTTTAGGCTAACTGCCACTGTGTGGTCTGAAGCTGATAACACACCATCACAGATAACATTAGTGTCAAAGATTTGGATTGTTCTACAGTATATACAGGACGTTCGTTGACGCCAATTAGTTAGTGGGTTCTTTGATACGTTAGCTACCTTGCTGGTTAGATACAACATACAATGGAATGTGAATGCTACAGCCATTCAATTTCAACCTGTCTTTTAGTTAACTACATTTGATTGTTATAGATTGCTAGCTAAGTTAATTCACGTTACCAGTAGCTACTAGCTAGCTAAGTTAGCTAACGCCAGCTATCATCCTCCTATTCCTATAGCATTGGTGATGAAATGAATTTATATCAAGCAGTTTCTAACAATACGGTTGTCCCCAATACCAACAACGAAAGGTTTTACACGAAACACTTTGTCCACAATTTGATGGCTGTAAACATTATCTACCGACTAACCTTGGCCAATGTTACAAGGCTCCCTCTCAAGGCAGCAGCCATCATGATGACCAAACCAACGAGAATGTGGACGAAATGAACTTTGTCTTTGACTGCTACAAACGTTGATTATTCTTTGGTGGAATAGTTGGACAGAGCAACCTTATGAGCGAGATACAGACGCCACCTAGTGGATTGGAGTTGCAGTTCGTCCTAATATTTTCAGCTTCAGCAGAGTAGACAGTTCAGTCAAATTAGTAGGGCCAAGGAGACCTCTTTGGTAGGGGCAAATATTTGGCTTTCTTCACAGAAATTTGAGACCAAGAGGGATGTGGTTACACAACAGATTTCTATGGTCCCACAAACCCTGGCACTAGGGTAAGGGTAGGTAATCAACCCTGTTCCTGGAGGGTTGCAATAATGCATGATGTAGAGCCAGTGTAAGATTCCGAGGCGTGATTTGAACATGGCACCCTAGGGTCCAGCAGAGCCTGACTCACTGCACTGCTCCAAGAACGATAACTCCCTTCGGGAGCAGTAATCGGTCTTATGGTCTGCGTATAAAGAACGTCACGCTGCTTGCTTAGCGAGGACCAGTTCCTCCCGATCAGGCTCATACCTGGCTCGGACTTTCGACATCTGCCTGGCAAACGCGTGACCGCACTCCATCTGCTACATTCACCTCCCAAACTCGCGGTTGATCTGAGCGCAACTGCAGATCCGGGTCACAGCACCATTGTAAAGGACATCACGCTGCTTTCTTAGCGAGTAGTAGTACCACTTCCCCCAAATACGGCTCATCATACCTAGCTCGAACTCGGGACATCTGCCTCGCAAACACACGTACAAAATGCTAACCTCCCCTGTTATTGTAATGGTGAGAGGTTAGCATGTTTTGGGGGTATGATATTTATGTGTCTGTAACTTTCTCACTCATCATTATTCACGATTCATTCAGGACTATCCGTAATCATGGTAGCATCCACATGAATGTAGTAGTGTTTAGAAACATATATTATTTTTACAATATTTTTACAATAAAAGTGACTCCAAAATGACACGTACAAAAAGTGCTGTAATTTCTAAACGGTTCACACGATATGGATTAAAATACCCTCTAATTAAAGCTGGCGGCAGTCTGCACTTTAACCTTAGTCATTGTATCATTTCAAATCCAAGTGCTGGAGTACAGAGACAAAACAACAACCAATGTGTCACTTTCCCAATACTTTTGGAGCTCACTGTATTTAGCATGCTCCAAACACCTGTGTTACATAAGCGTAACTCGGGAAGTCTAGTGGAAGTGTAGTTTCGTCGGATATAGGCATCCATAGCTGTATGGATCTGTGCAAAACTGCTACAGTAAGTTTTTTTATTTGAAGGATTATTTCTCGCTGATGAAAGCCGTATCACAAGCAATGATTTTTGACGTTAAAACACAGCTTTGGGATTGTAGTTCACATGAGGCAGTCGTGGGTGAAGCTAATGGCTGAGAACTGTAGGGAGAAGGCAGAAGAGCTAGTACTGGCCTGGGTACCAAAAGGGATACCTGGGGATCCCCCATCCCACATTGGAATGTGCTGGGTACCAATGGCTGGAATGGAGTGAATCACAGGAGGTTGGTGGCACCTTAATTGGAGAGGACTGGCTCGTGGTAATGGTTGGAGCAGAATAAGTGGAATGGTATCAAATACGTCAAACACATGGTTTCCATGTGTTTAATGCCATTCGCTCCGTTCCAGCCATTATTATGAGCCGTCCTCCCCTCAGCAGCCTCCACTGGTCAGTGAATGGAATAGTATGAAAACAGGGGTTAGGCCAGTAACCGAAAGGTCGCTGGTTCAAATCCTTGAGCCGATTAAACATCTGTCGACGTGTCCTTGAGCAAGGCACTTAACCTTAATTGCTCCTGTAAAGTCGCTCTGGATAAGAGCGTCTGCTAAATCAGGGTTTCCCAAATTCGGTCCTGGGGCCCTCCCCTGGGTGCACATTTAGTTTTTTTTATCCTAGCACTACACAGCTGATTCAAATAATCAAAGCTTGATGATGAGTTGGTTATTTGAACCAGCTGTGTAGTGCTAGGGCAAAAACCAAAACGTGCACCCAGGGGGGGGCCCCAGGACCCTATCCTAAATGACTCAAATGTAAAATATGGAAACCATGTGTTTGATACCATTCCATTAATTCCGTTCCAGCCATTACAATGAGCCCGTCCTCCCAAATTAAGGTGCCGCCTGTGCTGGGGATCCCACATTCCCGCAGTGCTGATGCTTGCATAGCTGCGTGAGTGTGTTAGGTTTTAAAATAATTATTTTTACCTATTTGTCATCACATTGATTCCATAACCTCAGGTAAAGTGTGTTTTTCCTTGTTGGGTGTCTTCTTTGAATTACTTGACTATTCAAGTAAACGTCATTTCCTCGACAGGCAAGTGAGCGCAAGTCTAGTGGGCGACAGCTGCTCCCGTCGAAGCCGAGTTTACTATATATGGGCAAAGCCAGGCATACCGAGAGTGGCGTTCGCTTCCGTGTTTGTGCGATTAGCAGAGTCTAGACCAGCCGGTGGATAAGGGAGGTTTGGCGTTTCATTCATTCGGAGGAATTAATACAAAATCAGCGAATATGTCCTATGAATTGAGTAAGTCGTTTTTATTAGTTATTTTCCTTTTTGAAAGAATATACATTAAAGATGGACATTTTAATCGTTTCATCAGTACAAATAAAGTACTTCACCACAGAGAGAAACTGCTAGCTAGCTAACTACGTGTGTAAACACTAACCTCGCCCATTCTGAATTTTCAATCTCGTTTCTTGTCTTGAGACATCACGCCGCTGCTAGTGTTCTTCTGTTACTAGGTAAATAGCCACGCATTCATAATTGAGATGCCTTTCCTCTTATTGGATGGAGCTGGCAAGGGAACCTACTCGGTTTTGAAATAGCCATATTTCCTATAAACAAAATCTCAATTTCTGCACGAAATATGCAACGCATTGTTGACATGTCACAGAATGTGGGTGGGTGTGCGTGCTTTTAGCAAGTAGAGTACACAGTCGCACACAATTTACAGTATACATTTATCTGCTAACGTGTAGATAGTTAATCAGCTAAAAGCAGAGGTAGATGTCGGCCTATGTATTGTCTTTGAGACAGAAGGCTATTTACAGGTCGTCTGCTATGCATTCCGATGGCCTGGCATCTTACATAATACAAGCTACAGTGCAATTTAGTTTGTATTAATTGATTGAAGTACAGTTCTTATTTGTGTCCGTTTTTACAGCCACTGTAGGCTGATCTTGATGTGTGGGTTATTTACCAACCAAATAGGTCAATGCCTAGACTAACCTAGACAATAATAATAATAATAATAATAATAATACACTTCCATGTCGTTCACACAGAGCATGTATTTGCCAGCCTCCCGCAGATGGAACGAGGAGTCGCCAAAGTCCTTGGTGGGGATCCCAAAGGCAACAACTTCCTCTACACCAATGGGAAGAGTGTCATCATCAGGAACATAGATGTAAGTCCTTAAATCTAATGAACATATCACCTGACACATTGTTGGCAGCTGATAACCTGAAACTCATAGGCCTATATTTGGGTGGGTTCATGTACAGTAAAACGTGTGATCTGGGCTGGTCAGATTTATTAAAGGATATAACCTCTTTCCCAGTCTATATTGTGTGTGAGAACCTGCACTAACGTTAGAGTTTTGCCTTAATCTCTGACAGAACCCTGCCATAGCTGACATCTACACCGAGCACCCTCATCAAGTTACTGTTGCCAAGTACGCTCCCAGTGGCTTCTATATTGCATCTGGAGGTAGCTAGATATTTATGACCTACTTGTTGTGTGTATGTACTGACATGTATGTGTAACTGATAGATCCGCGCACAGACACTACATGTTAATGTATGTAAATTTGTAATGGATTTGTCTTAATTGTGAATGGTGACAAGACCTGTACCTAGAGTGACCTGTACCTAGTCTTCTCATGCATGTGGGTTCTTTGGAGAACATATCTCATTTGCAGAGAGCCAAATGGGCAGAGATCATTTTCATGGTAGTGATGCCAAATCCACAACGTTCAAATATAATGTTTCCTACAGATGTGTCTGGTAAGATCCGTATCTGGGACACTACCCAGAAGGAGCACCTTCTGAAGTACGAGTACCAGCCTTTCGGGGGGAAAATCAAGGACATTGCCTGGACTGAGGACAGCAAAAGGATTGCTTGTGTGGGAGAGGGACGTGAGAAGTAAGTCTGTAGGGCCTAGTTCAGACCTCAAGCAGGACAGGGACATGGAGTCTGCGCCGTTATCTTCCAAATAAGCTCTCTGGTCCTGCTAACGGTGCAGCATTTACACTTTGGCGAACAGTGGTTGTACATCATTGAGGATTGTATAAGCTTTAGGTCAGATGTCAACAACACGTTACAGTGTGTGCAGGTCTTTGTTCCACATCAGCAATAACATTCTGGAATCATGATCTGCCGAATCAGGGTTGTTCAGTAGGCATAAGACTGAAACTAAAATTAACATCCGTAATGGGTTTGTTCAGGTGTTAAAATTGTTTCCTCCCATTTTTGTGTCTTCTGAACATGTCCCCAGCATGTTGGGGCTTGGCTGGAACAAAAGCTACAGCTCTCAGAACCCTAGTGGCTAACCCTGTTGTGAACATTCCAGTATCTGACATGAATTGAATATTCCATTACTTGACTTGATCATTGCTTGAACCCCCTTAAAATGAGATTTCAGGACATGTCAGAAGATGAATACAAAAACAACATTCACCCCAGATTTTCATAACTCCCCTAAAACTTGGATAAGGTGCATGTCTCTCACCTATACACTTGTGAATTATTTGCTTCTGTCTAGTGAATCGCTGCACGTTGTTCATCGCGTCCTGTCCCACTTTGTAAATGTGTGTTCTTCCTTCCAGGTTCGGGGCTGTGTTCCTGTGGGACACTGGCTCCTCAGTGGGAGAGATCTCAGGCCACTCCAAAATCATCAACAGTGTGGACATCAAGCAGACTCGCCCCTACCGCCTCATCACCGGCAGTGATGACAACTGTGGGGCCTTCTTCGAGGGACCGCCTTTCAAGTTCAAGTTCTCAAGCACAGTGAGTGGCCTTTTCTCAATGAGATATTCTCAACTCGTGCGTCTCTGGCCTCCTCCTAGAAAAAGGTAATCAAGCAGAGGTGGAGAGGGAAAGTGGACGAAAATGTGCTTGCATGAAATTACTCCAATTGCGCATCATCAGGCAAATTACATTGTGTAATCCCAAAATAAATGTAGAAAGTAATAAATGTTGCTAGTTGTGCAAGACATTTTTATAGATAAAAGGATTAGTAGCATATCGTTTTTAAATGTTTGCATTTACGATTCGCTGATTTCAAAGGGGTGTGGCAGATTTCAAAACTCTTCCGCAAAAGGACTCGGGTAGGATATACTTGCGCTTCCTCGCCAAAAGGAGGCTATCGACGAGGGAAGGACTGTCTTCCGTTTGCCTATTAACTATTTGACACGCCACTTGACCACTTATCGGTTGTCGGGTTACGGACTTTTTCCCAAATTAGAAAAGGCCAATGTGTCTGAGGTTTCTGAAGAAATTTGGGAATCTGTTCTGAATGTCCCATCGGGGTATGTGGTTGGGAGAGAATTGCCTACAGGTCTCCAGTGTTTTTTCCTTTTTCTTTCATGAGTATTGCCTTTTGATACTATGTACCTTTATTCACTTGGTTAGCCCTGTCGTGAGCACAGACGGAAGCTATACATTTGATGACCATGGAAGCATCAGTGTGTAGGAGTCAAGGCAACTTTGGTTTCTTGTAAAAGAGCGAAAGGAGATTTTCACTGTCTCGGTCACTTAGCTCGTGGTGCTGAGCTGGTGGCATTAGTCTGGTCAACATGTTGCAGAATTTCTCTATTAAAACACAAAAGCTGAGTATTTCTGAGGCTTTAATGTAGGGCTGGAAATTGCCAGGGACCTCATGATAGGATATTACCACGATACTTTAGTGCTGATATGTATTTCGACTATCACGATTCACACAAGTCTATGTATTGCGACTCGATACTGCACATTTATTTTGCGATTTGTTGTTCAAAACATATTGCTCACCATATGTTTTTCCTGAGGGACAAGAGCGAGCCATGAGAAAGCAAGTTTTGATCAGTCATGGAAATAAAAGTGCTTAAACAAATTGGCTCACTATTTAAAAAGAAGATGGAGAGCAAGCTATGAAGGACAAATACTGGAGTTTTGGTGCAGGTACGTCCGACTAGCCCAAAAATAATATCCTACTGTATTTTTTTTTTTTTACCCCATCACTACTTTAAAGAGGGTTCCAGAACAGCAACCAACATATTGTGGTCAAGGTGAAGTACACTCTGGTCTTGGGCCTATATATTTACAGTGCATTCAGAAAGTATTCAGACCCCTTGACTTTTTCCACATTTTGTTACATTACAGCCTTATTCTAAAATGGATTAAATAAATATTTTTCCTCAATCTACACACAATACCCCATAATGACAAAGCGAAAACAGGTTTTTAGAAAATGTTGCACATTTATTAAAAATAAACAGACCTTTATTTACATAAGTATTCAGACCCTTTGCCATGACACTCGAAATTGAACACAAGTGCATCCTGTTTCCATTGATCATCCTTGAGATGTTTCTTCAACTTGATTGGAGTCCACCTGTGGTAAATTCAATTGATTGGACATGATTTGGAAAGGCACACACCTGTCTATATAAGGTCCCACAGTTGACAGTGCATGTCAGAGCATAAACCAAGCCATGAGGTTGAAGGAATTGTCTGTAGAGCTCAGAGACGGGATTGTGTCAAGGCACAGATCTGGGGAAGGGTACCAAAAAATGTCTGCAGCATTGAATGTCCTCAACCTAGTGGCCTCCATCATTCTTAAATGGAAGATGTTTGGAACCACCAAGTCCTTTCCTAGAGCTTGCCGCCCGAACAAACGGAACAATCGGGGGGAGAAGGGCCTTGGTCAGTGAGGTGCCCAAGGACCCGATGGTCACTCTGACAGAGCTCCAGAGTTCCTCTGTGGAGATGGGAGAAACTTCCAGAAGGACAACCAACTCCGCAGCACTCCACCAATTAGGCCTTTATGGTAGAGTGGCCAGACGGAAGCCACTCCTCAGTAAAATGCACATGACAGACCGCTTGGCGTTTCCCAAAAGGCACTTAAGGACTCTCAGACCATGAGAAACAAGATTCTCTGGTCTGATTAAACCAAGATTGAACTCTTTTGGCCTGAATTCCAAGCTTCACGTCTGGAGGAATACTGGCACCATCCCCACGGTGAAGCGTGGTTGCAGCATCATGCTGTGGGGATGTTTTTCAGTGGCAGGGACTGGGAGACGAGTCAGGATCGAGGCAAAGATGAACGGAGCAAAGTAGTAAGAGATCCTTGATGAAAACCTGCTCCAGAGCATTCAGGACCTCAGACTGGGGTGACGGTTCACCTTCCAACAGGACAACATTTTACATTACATTTTACATTTTAGTCATTTAGCAGACGCTCTTATCCAGAGCGACTTACAGTTAGTGAGTGCATACATTTTTCATACTGGCCCCCCGTGGGAAACGAACCCACAACCCTGGCGTTGCAAGCGCCATGCTCTACCAACTGAGCTACATGGGGCCCCAGTTTAGTCACATAATTTACAATATGTCTGCCAATCAGATGTGAAGCCAGACATATTTGCCACTCCCTTTGCTTTATTTCTCTCAACTACACAGTTTTTCAATTCCTCATCAATCCAGGGGACCTTAACAGTTCTAATAACTGGAAGAAACAAATTAATGTTTCGTATGCATCTCATCTTTTGTGGGAACTCTACCCTTCTATCCACCTCCACATCCCCAAAAACATTTAAATAACTTCAGCTAAAAGCTAGAAACAGTGCTGTTTTAAAACATAGAGCTACAGTAAGATTCAGATTGATAAAATAAAAGGAGTTAAAGTTTAAATTTTTAAAAATGATTCTAAAATAATGTTTTAATACAAATCAAACAGTAAACAGGACTAGATGCACAACTTCTCTCCAAAACATGAGTGTGTTTGCTTCTTGTTATGCTTCCCTTATAGAATTAGTGAAAGCCAAGCAGGCCTCTCCAGAATACTGAATGGTATGCACTTAGCCCCTTTGTGGACAGAACCAAACAGTGGAGGGATGGAAGGGTAAAGTAAATAGCTGCCAATGGGGACAGTAACACAAAACACTGTTGTAATAATAAACAGACACACAAATAAAAGTCCCACGGGGAGGGGACACCCAGCCCCCCCCCCCCCCCCCCCCCCCCCCCTCCTTATGTACAAACATATTGTCCGATCGCCCAGGAGTCCATTTTCTCCCCTCCTCTAATTACACCATGGTCTCCTTCCTCTTCCCTAAGGCACAGAGGGAGCGCTTGTCCTTTTTGGTTTTGTGTTTGGGCGACGGGGAGGATAGTGGTGATGAAGAGGAGGATGAGGAGCGGGAGGAGGGAGACGTTGAGGTGGGGCTGGGGGTCTCGTCCCCGCATGGCGAACTGGGGGCGGACGTTGCACCTGGGGGCGTCAGAGGGCAGTTCTCATCGGTCTCCTCCGTGTGGATGATGGCGGAGATTTTGGAGGAGCGCCGCTTGGAGTGGGCGTCGGCTGCCGGGGAGGAGGCGGGTGTGGTGACAGCGGCGTCCGCGGGGTGGTGGACGGAGATGGCGCTGCGCAGGCAGTTGAGCCACTGCTGCTTGTGGAAGACGTCATTGACCTGCAGCGTGTGGGACTGGCCCTGAGACGGGTCATGGAAACGCACACGGAAGATGTTCTTGGCTTTGTCGGAGTTACTGAATGCTCCTCTGAAGGAGCCACCCATCTTGACGTCTCCATCCTGTAGGTCCTCCAGCACCAAGTCCTGCACCGGGATTGGCTGCCGGTACACCTGGAAACAGTGGTGCTCGTTCCTCGTCACAGACCGGGTCATTACCAACAGCTCTGTGAACAGGAACACGTGCAGCTTTGTTCCGCTCTTGTTGCGTAGCTCGCCGTGACACAACAGACTCTTGCACTGGTCGATGCGCGGGTCTCTTTGCCTGTCGTCCAGATACTCCAGTTTGTCTATGTAGTACTGGCTCTCTGACTCCCCCTTCTTCATGTTGATGTCAGACAACACACCCTGGATGATGGTGATTGCTTGCTCCAGGCGGGGCGTGTCGGGGTGCTCGGGCGCTGTGTGTTTGAGGATCTCTCTGAGCAGGAGGGGGTATTTGAACAGACGGGAGCGGGGGATGTCCAGGAAGCTCCACAGGTCCAGCTTCCTGCTGAAGGGAGACTCCAGGCAGCGCTGCAGTAAGTCCTGCACCCTCCGGTCCTGTTTCTTCTGGTCCAACAGGGCCTTGGCCGCCACCTGGTTACTGCAGTAATCTCGGTATGCATTCAGCCCTGGCAACCAGCTGACGACGATCTGTCCTATCTGTCCCACGGTGCCGTCGGGGCCGGCGGCTCTGGCCAGCAGGTCCTCGTGGAGGGGGATGTAGGCATCCAGGTCCCCGAAGATATGGGTCAGCTCCTCCTCCGACATGATACTCAGCTTCAGCATGGGGTCGTGGTACGCCTTGCGTGCGAGTTGGAGGTCCTCAATCAGGTCCTGTTCTCCGCGAGTCAACTCAAATATGGCCTCCTGTCTCTTGATCTCCTTGGTGGAGAAGGTGCCCTTCTGGTGGACGTCTAATGTCTCCGACCACAGCGTGCTGTTGCGTCTCTTGGGCGGCGTGGGCGCCGCCGCCTTGCTGCATGGCTTCTGGGGCACGCCCGGCGTCTTGCCACCATTGCCATCGCCCCGGAAGGACATGGACTGGATGGTCTGGCCGACGCGCCGGACGGCCCCATTCTTCACGGGGGAGATGAGGTTAGCCAGCGAGGTCACCCTGCCGAGAGGACGGACAAGCTTGTTGCTGGGTTCCTCGGACTCTTTGTTGGCTTGGTTCTGACCGTCTATAGCTTGTAGAGTCCGTTTGATAGTCACCAAGCTACCCAGTTCATCGTAAGCCACCATAGCTTTGAGTTAAAAAATCCAACAAGGTTTCTGCTATATCCAGTTAGTCTTCAAATGATGTCCCCCTCTATTCCTCTTCTTCTTGCTCCGCTATGGGACTTCAGAAAACTCCACACACTACTGCTCTCTCATTCTAGACTTTGGTCAACAACGACGACAACAACAACGACCCTAAGCACACAGCCAAGACAACACAGGAGTGGCTTCGGGACAAGTCTCAATGTCCTTGAGTGGCCCAGCCAGAGCCCAGACTTGAACCCGATCGATCATCTCTGGAGAGACCTGAAAATAGCTGTGCAGTGACGTTCCCATCCAACCTGACAGAGCTTGAGAGGATCTGCAGAGAAGAATGGGAGAAACTCTCCAAATACAGGTGTGCCAAGCTTGTAGCGTCATACCCAAGAAGACTCGAGGCTGTAATCGCTGCCAAAGGTGCTTCAACAAAGTACTGAGGAAAGGGTCTGAATACTTATGTAAAATGTGATATTTCATTTTTTGGGTGGGATAAATGTGCAAACATTTCTAAAAACCTGTTTCTTTCATTATGTGGTATTGTGTGTAGATTGAGGGGGAAAAAGTAATATCTTTTTTTTAGAATAATTCTGTAACGTAACAAAATGTGGAAAGTCAAGGGGTCTGAATACTTTCCGAATGCACTGTATATTCTTGGCTACTTTTTTTTAATGGTTCTCAGTTTGTTTTCACAGTATCAGTGTTTTATGTACATTCACATGTTACATAATCCACGTCCCCTAGAAAATCAGGGTTTAATTGTCAACCGCATTCCTACATTTTGAAAGCGTGAAAAGGGGAAGTACAGTCTACGACCTCAATTTATTAAATAAACATCCTTTTCGAAAACTTTTCGGTGCATTATGCCTATCAAACACTACCTGTTTTGGAGCAGTCAGCTTTCCCACAAAATGCCCTTTTTAGCAAGAAACTTTTGGAATGCTGTGTGTCTTGACTTGGGTTCGCTACAGGCTACCACCTTGGGCCAAGCCATACACATTCAGTGCTTACAAATTTACATTTTAGTCCTATAGGCCAATTTAGCAAAAAATATGGTAAGGGGGGAGACGGCCCCAATAAAAATAAATGTTTTTGTTTAATTTGGGTAGAGCTAAATGGCTGGCTTTGGCCTATATTCACAAATCACGGAAACCCTAGCAATGAGCTGAAAAATAAACAAACACACTGTTCATAGGCCCGTTTACTCTACTGTCATTATTTATTTAACCAGGAAAAGCCCATTGAGACCCAGAGTCTCTCTTTTTCACGGGAGACCTGGCCAAGAAGGCAGCAACAATCAATACGTTACAGAATTAAAACATACTACAATACAATTCAACAACATGATCCAGCCCCCCCAAAAAAGCATTTACACTCCCCTGTAACGGGTACTTTATTAAACACACAACCTCACTCTAGTAGAGATTACATTTCTTCTGCTGTAGAGATGGTAGTGCTGAACATTATACCATTTGGTCTATTAGTTAGGACGCAAATGGGATACACCTTTCAATCAGTAATTTTAATATGTGGTCTCAATAGTCAAACAAGGCAAGATAATGTGTTATCAGTTTGTCAGAATGTTGCAGTCTCTGTTCAAGCACATCTAATTCAACTAGTCCCATAAGAGCATTGCGTTTAGATCAAGTATTTTGGCACTGCGCCGACTTGCTGCTGAAAACACTTGTTGGGTTTGTTGGTGCCAGTCTGAGCTCCGTGTAGGCTTGTTCCCATGAAGTTTCATCAGAGACTACACGGCAAGTGAGACTTCTATGAGATCTACTATATGGGTGTCACTGCTGGTTGAAAAGGGAGCCTTATGTAACGAAACAACAGAAGAATTTCCGCTAAGGGTCTCCAGAAGTAGGTTGTCCCTTCTGTTTGTGTATATTCTATTTAAAAGAGAAGGGAGTTGTAGAAAGCTGGGTCAATGAGTTAGTCATGTAACTTCATATTTTCAAGAAAGACTTGGTATAATTGCTTGACAACAACCAATCTACAAATTGAGCTTTCTTAAATTAACCAGAAAATCAAGAGTTCTATGCAGCTGGCTTAAGTAATAGTCCTGTGTTTTGGAAAAGCCCAAAAGTATCTAACGATCTCTCCCATCCTAGGACCACAGCCGGTTTGTCAACTGCGTGCGTTTCTCTCCAGACGGGAACCGTTTCTGTACGGCTGGCGCTGATGGTCAGGTGAGTCCAATAGCTACCAGAGCTGCTCCATGGTCAGGAACCCAGCATCACTAAGGTGGTCTCAGAACCCACGACCGACGGTAGAACATTGACAGCCTGTCTCAATTCTTCTAGAATTTTATTTTATACTGAACAAAAATATAAACGCAACACGTAAAGTGTTGGTCCCATGTTTCATGAGCTGAAATAAAAGATCCCAGAAATGTTCCATATGCACAAAAAGCTTATTCTCTCAAATTCTGTGCGCATTTCTCCTTTGCCAAGATGACCCCATCAGGTGTGGCATATCAAGAAGCTGATTAAACGGCATGATCAGTATATTTTAGTGTGTGTGGTGGAGGGGAATAGAAGTACAGTAGAAATCAGCTGTGAATTAGCACGTTACGTCAGAGATTTTCTAGTGAACCCACAAGAATTGCTGACTGTAGGTCAGTAGTAGACAGATGTGTTTCTACCTGGATGTTGAAATGCAATTTTACCCTACAGTACTGGTTCTTACTAGAAGTGTCACATTACCCTGTTTTCCTAGATCTTCCTATACGACGGAAAGACGGGCGAGAAGATTGGGGCTCTGGGCGGTGCGAAGGCCCACGAAGGAGGAGTCTATGCCGTAAGTATCTCCACAGCTTTTGTGGAGTTTCTCTTTTCGTTCAACTTTGCCTGGTGGTTTGAGACTTGTAGTCATGGGTTTTTTACTTAAGCCTGCTGAGAATGGAAACTTCAGTCTTTTGATCCTTCAGCATAACTCGTCAGGCTTCACTGCTGAGAGGGGTGAACACCCAGTCAAGATTAAAGCTGCCATGCAGTTGCTAGAGGACTTGAACGTAAACAAACTAAATGGATGCTTTCCTTTTCAAATTAGAAGTGCAATGTGTTCCTGTGAAAAAGAAGCGAGACTTTCTTGTATCCCCCACATTTTAAAACATCACTCCTCGAAATTTCACTTAGCATGCCCCAACAATATTTGATTTCCAGGAATTTGAATTGGTGAAGCAGTATAACGACATAATTAGACTGTGTGTACAGTTGAAGTCGGAAGTTTACATACACCTTAGCCAAATACATTCAAACTCAGTTTTTCACAATTCCTGACATTTAATCCTAGTAAAAATTCCCTGTCTTAGGTCAGTTAGGATCACCACTTTATTTTAAGAATGTGAAATGTCAGAATAATAATAGAATGATTTATTTAATCACATTCCCAGTGGGTCAGAAGTTTACATACAGTCAATTAGTATTTGGTAGCATTGCCTTTAAATTGTTTAACTTGGGTCGAACGTTTCGGGTAGCCTTCCACAAGCTTCCCACAATAAGTTGGGAGAATCTTGGCCCTGACAGAGCTGGTGTAACTGAGTCAGGTTTGTAGGCCTCCTTGCTCACACATGCTTTTTCAGTTCTGCCCACACATTTTCTATAGGATTGAGGTCAGGGAATTGTGATGGCCACTCCAATACCTTGACTTTGTTGTCCTTAAGCCATTTTGGCACAACTTTGGAAGTATGCTTGGGGTCATTGTCCATTTGGAAGACCCATTTGCAACCAAGCTTTAACTTCCTGACTGATGTCTTAAGATGTTGCTTCAATATATCCACATAATTTTCCTTCCTCATGATGCCATCTATTTTGTGAAGCGCACCAGTCCCTCCTGCAGCAAAGCACCCCCACAGCATGATGCTGCCACCCCCGTGCTTCACGGTTGGGATGGTGTTCTTTGGCTTGCAAGTAACCCCCTTTTTCCTCCAAACATAACAATGGTCATTATGGCCAAATAGTTATATTTTTGTTTCATCAGACCAGAGGACATTTATCCAAAAAGTACGATCTTTGTCCCCATGTGCAGTTGCAAACCGTAGTCTGGCTTTTTTAAGGCGGTTTTGGAGCAGTTGTTTCTTCCTTGCTGAGCGGCCTTTCAGTTTGTCGATATAGGACTTGTTTTACTGTGGATATAGATACTTTTGTACCTATTTCCCCCAGCATCTTCAAGGTCCTTTGCTGTTGTTTTGGGATTGATTTGCATTTTTCGCACCAAAGTACGTTCATCTCTAGGAGACAGAACGCGTCTCCTTCCTGAGCGGTATGACGGCTGCGTGGTCCCATGGTGTTTATACTTGCGTACTATTGTTTGTACAGATGAACGTGGTACCTTCAGGCGTTTGGAAATTGCTCCCAAGGATGAACCATACTTGTGGAGGTCTACAATTTTTTTTCTGAGGTCTTGGCTGATTTCTGTTGATTTTCCCATGATGTCAAGCAAAGAGGCACTGAGTTTGAAGGTAGGCCTTGAAATACATCCACAGGTCTACCTCCAATTGACTCAAAGGATGTCAGTTAGCCTATCAGAAGCTTCTAAAGTCATGACATGTTTAAAGGCACCATCAACTTAGTGTATGTAAACTTCTGACCCACTGCAATTGCGATACAGTGAAATAATCTGTCTGTAAACAATTGTTGGAAAAATTACTGGTCATGCACAAAGTAGATGTCCTAACCGACTTGCCAAAACTATAGTTTGTTAACAAGAAATGTGTGGAGTGGTTGAAAAATGAGTTTGAATGACTCCAACCTAAGTGTATGTAAACTTCCGACTTCAACTGTATATAATGTAGCCCGTCACTGGCATATCGGACCCGGGATTCTAACCCACAACATGACATACTCTGCAATGCAGTGTTGGAATGTCTAGCTCCAGGGTGACTGTACTTCAGGTCTCAGGAAGACCGTAGTGATGCTTACTTAGCCAACTGCTAAATAAAATGCATGGGACTGTACATTTTGCATTACCAAAGAGAAACTATAGCGGCACAGGTTTCTTCTGAAAGCATTGTGATAACCGACAGTGACGCGATGCCTCCCATTTGTGAACCCTGGTCCACTCCTTCCCTCTGTTCTCCTTCAGGTGAGCTGGAGCCCTGATAGCTCCCAGCTCATCTCTGCCTCAGGTGACAAGACTGTGAAGCTGTGGGACGTGGGCACCAGCACGGCCCTCACCACCTTCAACATGGGCGCCGACGTCATGGACCAGCAGCTGGGCTGCCTGTGGCAGAAGGACCACCTGCTCAGCGTCTCCCTGTCGGGCTACATCAACTACCTGGACAAGAGCAACCCCGACCGGCCACTCCGCACCATCAAGGTCCGCCTAAAGCTTCTTTCACACTACACTGTTTTCAGAATGTAATATAGTGTAGTGTGAACATCTTAGAGTTGGGGATCCAGTTTTAAAAACCCCACAAAAAAAACAATTTGGACACAACTGGCAGGCTTAATCTCCTGATATTGACGCTCTGTCCAGAAATGGTACCTAGCTGACTTATCATGATAAGCTATCTATGAACATTATCTTTATCCTGATCACAAAATCTTCCATAAAGTTGTCTTCAGGTCACTTGTTACTCAACACAAGCAAGTAGTTCAGTAACAAGAAAGGAGATGGCATACAAGTGGTTTTATCAGCATTCATCAAAATTCAATAGTTCATTTGACAGTTTTCTGGAGACCGATTAAATTTCTAATTGATTAGAAATGCTGAATTCGTGCCAAAACTCAAAGTATCATAACTGCGATGCTTTTGAGTCAAACAGAATTAATGTTTTTCTCGACTATTTGACAGTGTGCTAAACAATAAATCTCTCATTATGTGCCTTACAGGGTCACAGCAAATCCATTCAGTCCTTGACAGTTCACAAAAATGAGGGGCGGGCTTACATCTACTCGGGCAGCCATGACGGGCACATCAATATCCTTTCACTGGGAAGATGAAGGCATGCTGTGTCAACACTGAGGCCTGTTAATGATGAACTGTGCTTTCTGCAGAGTCCATTTCCCCTGAATGAATGGGACTTATCTAGGTGGTTGGCATTTGAAATGCAAGGAGGCTAATAAATTGGTCACAATGAAGACTCACATTAAACGTAATAGCCATGTCTGCTTAGGTTCCACTACAAATGTAGTGCACATAACTGCTGCTAATGTCCTTGTCTGTTAGTTTAATGTGGTCCTCTGTAGCTCAGCTGGTAGAGCACGGCGCTTGTAACGCCAAGGTAGTGGGTTCGATCCCCGGGACCACCCATACACAAAAATGTATGCACGCATGACTGTAAGTCGCTTTGGATAAAAGCGTCTGCTAAATGGCATATTATTATTATTTATTATTAACAAGAGGCCCACACCATCAATGTTATGGTCCCTTGCGTTATTTAAGCTCATGTTAAGATCCGCTCCGCTGCCCTCTCCTGGTGTCAGTCAGACGATCCTTAACTGTGGCCTCCACATTACTGGGATGCAGAGACCGGGGAGAACGACTGCTTCTCAGGGAAGGGCCACAGCAACCTGGTCACCAAGATGGTGGTGGACGAGGCCGACCAGCTGGTGACCTGCAGCATGGATGACACGGTTCGCTTCACAAGCATGACCAAGAAAGAATACAGGTGGGTCCAGAAGTGTTCTACTTAGGGTAGAATACCACAAGCGCACTTAGCATAGTGTGGGATTTGGGACTTATGCTGATGAGATTAAAAGACATGAGAGATTTCACTGAAATATTTATTCTGAATTTCTTAGTTCTCTCTTAATTCTAGTGAGGGTAGCTTTGTAATAATACTGCTTCCTTTTAAGGTTCACTGTCATTGGACAAGCTAGAGCAGTTGTGATGTCGTACTTTCAGTATGTTCATTTGTAAACCAGTAGTGACATGTATACAGTGCATTCTGGAAAAAATGTATGTAATCAAAACCAAAGAAGACTCGAGGCTGTAATCACTGCCAAAGGTCCTTCAACAAAGTACTGAGTGAAGGGTCTGAATACTTATGTAAATGTGATATTTCAGTTTTCTATTTTTTAAGAAATGTGCAAAAATTTCTATAAACCTGTTTTCGCTTTGTCATTATGGGTTATTGCGTGTAGATTGAGGAATTTTTATTTATTTAATCCATTTTAGACTAAGGCTGTAAGGTGGAAAAAGTCAAGGGGTCTGAATACTTTCCGAATGCATTGTATTTGACATCGCCTGTTCACCGGACATGCAACCTTGTCCTGGACCTGCTGTTTCGAACCTCTCGCTCTCACCGGTTGTCTTGACCTCTGAATGCGTGGCTATGAAAAGCCAACTAACATTTACTCCTGAGGTGCTGACGTGTTGCACCCTCTATAACCACTGATTATTTGACCTTGCTGGTCATCTATGACCGTTTGAACGTCTTGAAGAACGATCTGGCCTTAATTGCCATGTACTCTTATCTCTACTGGGCACAGCCAGAATAACCTGGTTCCTCTCTAGGTTTCTTCCTAGGAGCCTGCCTTTCTAGGGAGTTTTTCCTAGTCATCGTGCTTCTACATTGCTTGCTCTTTGGGGTTTTAGGCTGGGTTTCTGTATAAGCACTTTGTGACATCTGCTGATGTATGAAGGGCTTTATAAATACATTTGATTGAAAAGGAAAGGGTACTGTGGATGGAAATGTGGTTACTAACAGTTTGTTTTTGCAGTGCTTCTAACCTGGTAAAGATGGACATCCAGCCTAAACATGTTTCCGTAGCAACAGGGGGGCTCGCATTGGCCGTGTGCATCGGACAGGTAAAAGTCCTCTCCTAATGTGTGCCAACTCATCTGTCATTCAGGCATCATAGTATGGTAGACAGTGTTGGGTGTCCAAAATAAATAAGTCATGTCATTCATAAATGGGTGACACAATTACATTTACTGTCAGAATGGGCCTGTGGCTTGTCTGTTCTGGATAGTGTTAATATTGACTGTGCGGTCGTCAGGTGGTGTTGCTGAAGGACCAGAAGAAGGTGTTCACGCTGGACAGTCTGGACTACGAGCCGGAAGCGGGAGCCATCCACCCAGGGGGCAGCACTGTGGCAGTGGGTGGGGCAGTAAGTCTACATATAGCAACTTCATTTGAACTGGAACTATTATAGCTTAGTGTTGGATCAGAAGTAGTGTTTGATCTATTATGTTAGTGTGGGATCCGAAAGAATAGAATGTCAAGGTCTATTTGACCATGCCCTGGGTTATATTTCGTCATGCATTCTAACGTTATGTTTAAGAACTTGCATCGGGCGCTATTAAGGCCTTGGCTGCGGCTCTGACTTTTTCGACATCTTAAGTCCGCCACACTCAAAGAACCTGAGCTTCCTGACCCTCCTGCACATGTGTATGTTCTCTACTCAGAGAATGGGCTACTCAGGCAAATGGTGCTCGTTTTTAATAAAGTTAGATCAAAGCTGAATCAGTGTCTGCAAGATCACATAATGATTAGGGCTGTGGTGGTCATAATCTTGTCGGCCGGCTATTGTCATGCGAAAGCCTGCCGGTCTCATGGTAATTGACTGTTAATTAACATAAACACGTTTAGCATCTCCAGGCCTCCACGCATGCCTTTGGAACATCTACATAAAAAAAAAAAAGGTCAAATAAATAAATGTAATATACACCATCACAATAATTCCATTATTTATTGTAGTCAGGTCTAAAGAAACATTATGATATGAAGAAAATGTATTTCAGAAGAACCGAATATGAGTTGGCCTACTGTATGTTATCTGGATATGCTCTATGCCATAGGCTGTAGGCTTGTTCATTTAGCTGACAAGATATGCTTATAAGGCTCATGCCATTTTATATTATATGGTTTTATAGTAAGAAGAACAGAATTGAACTTAACTGAATAAAATAGAAAGGATATTTTTCCCATTCCAGAGCGATTGCGCATATGAAGTGGCTATGTTGAGCGTAAGTGATCATTTGAAACAGGTCCTATATGCTGGATTTAGAGTTATTTAGCAACTTTAGTTGTGAATGATACAAACCTTAGAATGTCTTAGAAATCAAAACGTGTATGGGCTGCATGATGCGACTATAGGCAAAGAAAAAAGCTTGCTCTGTTCCTTGCCTCAGGCTGCACAGCTGTTCACTCATCAAGTGATTTTATATTTTCACCCAACAGATTATTCTCAATTGAATCTTGTCTTTACTAATATGTAAAATGTGTTTCTATTTAGAATGGCCCCTTAACAAAGGGGCAGAAACAGGGGCACTGTGAAAAAATACATAATCCGTTTGCACTCGAATAGTGAATGAGGGGCGCGCATTCCCACCGGTCCGTCTTTCAATGATGCTGGGTAGGCTTCTTCGGTTTTATAGCGGAGCATGTGCTTAATATGAGCAGCTGAGAAATAAATGTAAGAACACTTATTTAACACTTAAGTGATAATGCCAGAGAAGCCGGTGTTTGTTGGATATATTGGCACGGTTTGTCGGCCCTCGACTTTGTCTCGGGCCTAACAACACCCTTGCCAATATATCCAACAAACACCGGCTTCGATGGCATTATCACTTTTATACAATGGGTTACCAACATATTCAAATAATGATTGACATATTTTAATTAACTTTATTTTGATTAATCTATTCGTACCATTTCATCCTTCCACAAGACATAGTCCCGACACATCTAGGGTTACTAGAGACGCGACCCAGTCATTCATTCTAAATGTTCCATTGCCCTACTGGCTGGCAACGTTCTTATCCCTTGCCTGCTTGCTCCATTTGCATTTGTTTAAGCTGTTTTTCTAGTGACATTTATTTGGATACATCCATAACAATGAGCTAATGAGGTGTGATTTCGCCTGGCATAGAGAATGTGCTCACTCGTCAGAACACTGTTGTTCAGAGGAGCTAGCCAACAACACAGCTACAGTAACACAATCACTTCAAACTGAAGCTGGAAAGACTGCACATTAGCTGCGTTTTTGTTTTACCTTTTTTCAATGGACATTTTTATTGTATATATCCATAAAAATGATGGCCAGCTGATTCATGATTTCGACTGGCTGAGAAACGCCTTTCTGTCTCGTCCCAACTCCCGACACGTTCAATACTATGGGACAGCAGGAGATCGAATTTGAATATTGAAACAATGTTGCAAATGTCGGAGAGACAAACAGCAAGGTTTATACAAATCTCCAATGTTGAAAACTAAATGTTAGTCTAAAAGAAATGTGAGATAATGTCTAGATGCTTTTTATAAAGTGCCTGACTGGGTTGATGACAGTGGATTGCGCAGTCAGACAGAACAGCGTAAATAGGCATTTTAACATCATAGATTTAGCTGGTGGTAACCTTGTGGAATAGACACCGGCTGGAACGCGGTTTTAACCAATCAGCATTCAGGATTAGACCCACCCGTTGTATAATAAGCATTAACCACTGTTTGAGGAGCATGGTCTCGCAGCGCGACAGGTGATATTCCGCCCCAAACTCTATGCCATGGGATCTCAACCCTATTCCTGCAGCTACTCAGTGCTTCATTTGGGAAACCAAGTGAAATCTGTTCGAGAACATCGATGTTTTCGCAACTAAACTTTTCACTAAACTTTTGACAGCGCCTCTACGCGCTCGAGAAAGGAATAAAGGAGAGCAAGGAGGAGATGGAAACGCACGGTGGTGAGAGATTCTGTAGCTAAAGGTAATGTCACCCAATGAATGATACTAAATGCCCTATTATTATTCAAAATCAAATACAAATTCACTAATAATTGTAAGCCTATTTATAAGCTCTAATATGCATATGGTTGTTTTGGAATTAATCATCACCTTTAGAAACATCCACAAAGACCATGTTTTACACTGTTTCAACCTGCTGTTGAAATGTTTTCTTCAAATTGATCATCACAGTGAGGTGAGTTTTAAAAGCACGATACTGTTTTGATGATAAGAGTTTGTGATTTTTGATTGCATTTGCGTTGATGTCAGAGTGATTAGAGGGACAATAGAGCCCTGAGTACCAGGCCATTAGGCCTCAACGGTCATGTGCAATTTTACTGCGGTCATGACTGGAATGTGGCGGTAATATGGTCACCGTTACAGCTCTAATAGGGATCACAGTATTCATAACAGAAACAAATATAATAGCATAGTTTTACGTTAATGTAAGACGAAAACACCACCGCATTCAATCGGGCAGGATAATTCTTCAAGTTCTGCTGGTAAAACATCCATGCAGCATCATTCTGCATAGTAACCATTTGATCGCAATCAGTTTTATGGGGATATGCATTTAGATCTTCTTGGAGTTAAAGTGTTTCGAATTATGAAGTGAACGAGTTTTAGAGCAGATTGGCGTTAACAAACTGTAGCATAGCCGACTACCTGAGTATTTTGCCTAGTGGCGCGCTGTTGGGTTTTGGCCAAATGAGAGTGAAATGTGGTGTCTGTGTCTTACAATAACGTTAAACTATGCTATTTGGTTCTGTTATGAATACTGTGTTCATTGTGTGATCTTGCAGACATTCAAGTTAGATCAAAGCTGACTCAAACGAGCACCATGACCGTTTGCCTGAGTAGCCTGATATACACATGCATTTAACGTGATGTGCAGAAGCTCCGGATCTTTTAGTGCAGCTGACTAAGGATCCCAACAAGTCGGATCCACAGCCACTCCGCACTATAAACCAGTGCTATGAAACTCTTCGGAACTGACACTGTTGTTCAACTGATCACTGGTTTTATTTAGGTGTGGGTCGGATCCAACTACTCAATATCTCCCCTTGTCCTTTAGTATTTCTCTCTCCTTCCTCCCGGCAGGATGGGAAGGTCCGATTGTATTCCGTCCAAGGCAATACTCTGAAGGATGAGGGGAAGAGCGTGGAGGCCAAGGGGCCAGTCACAGACATGGCCTACTCCAAAGACGGAGCCTACCTGGCCGTCACTGACGAGAAGAAGGTCGTCACAGTTTTCACAGTGGCGGATGATTACTCGGTATGCAGTCTCGCGCATCCATCTCAAGCAAAACTTGCAAAAAGAGCCTAATATTAACATGTGCCATATTGATTGTCCTGAATGCTAGAATTATTTTACAATAAATGTATTCCTAAAGCCCAATGAACAGCAAATGCCATCTGGGTTTATCAATATCAATCGGTGGTAGTGTAATGCATACAATCATCCCATCAATTTGAGTGTGAGTGGAGACTTTTTTTTATTTTACATGTTGGATTCTGCATCCATTTCTGTTTATCCCCTTTCTACAGGTGAAAAATGATTTTTATGGACACCACGCGAAAGTAGTCACCTTGGCCTGGTCGCCCGACAACGAACACTTTGCCAGCGGTGGGATGGACATGATGGTCTACGTTTGGACAGTGAATGACGCAGACAAGAGGCTGAAGATCCCAGGTGAGGGCCAAAATAGCATCCCGAGAGAAAAGGGGGTGTGCGCACACAGAGAGAAGTGTCTGGAGTTATTTAAATCCTCTCTGTTATCATTTTCAGGTATTTGAAATCATGGAAACTGAAGGTGTTGAAGGGATAATGTGTCACCACTCGACTGTGGGATGGGGTTTTAAACTGCTGATCTTTCTGTAGCAACCATTTTGACCTGGTAGCTAAATCTACCTTTTTGTGCGGGTAGTTAGATTTTTGTCAGGACAGCAAATGTTAACATTACAAAAAGGGGGGGGGGGGGGGTGGTATTGGGGAAAATATAAAAATTCACATTTTCAGTGTCTCTGTGACAATTGATGAAGTATCTTATCTTGTATTACCATTGCTGCAGAATTTTCCCAAATGTAATTATTTTCACCACCACTAGATGGTAGTAGCCTGCTTGGACACCATTATTCTAGGAATACATTCAAATGCTCACACTCTCCAGTTGAAAACCACATGCTCTAGTTTTAGCAGCAACACATACTGTATATTCACGGCCTAATTCAAAAATTTTAGTCTCATGACATCTCTTGATAGCTAGTGTCACTGTAAAATGACTGTTCTCCCATCCTTTTCCAGACTCCCACAGGTTGCACCATGTCAGTGGCCTGGCCTGGCTAGATGCGCACACTCTAGTGACCACCTCCCATGACGCCAGCATCAAGCAGTGGACTCTTAAATTCTGATCTGTGCAAGACCGGATCATTAGGGACAAGGACTACTGTAGACCTCTCTCTCCCTCTTACTCGTATAATATTTTATGTATCTAATTGATGGTCTCTTGTCAGCAACCCCTGAAATTGTCAATTGTCGGTCATTGCAGGGAAAAGCTTATCTAAAACAAGAATCCCAACGCAATCTATTTCTTTGATGCTTTTAAACGGTTCTCTCATGCACGAACAAAGAAAAATAACCCAAAAAGCAGCATTGATATCAAGCTTTTCTGGTCAAGAAAACCAATTGTAAGCTCAACATTCCAGAGGCAACAGCCTTATCTCAGTTCAAACTGAAATGCCTGTCTGTGTGGTTGGAGGGACATTTCATCTCAACTCTGTTAACTCTGAATGAAAGAATATTTATGGGGAAAAAATAATTGAAAAATGGAGGTATGTTTCAGTTGCATTCCTGAATGGGATTGAGTTGAGAATGAATGGCCCTCCGATTGTGCTTGCCTATTAGTTCATGGTTTCAGCCGAGGTTGATGTTACCATTTGTATGGGAGTGAGTATTTAGCTTTTTTTGCCTCGTCTTTCTTTGACACATAACGTCAATGTCATTCAGAATGATTTCTAGTTGGAACAGATGTGATTGGGGGAGCAATGTAGGAACTTAAAACGCTAAATTAATCATGTGTACAATCGAAATGCTGTGTATTCAATGAAGCTCCTGTACTTTTTCGTTTTGCCTCACAATGCTCCCGTATCTCACTTGTTATTTTTTTGATGCTTCCGCTTTTTCCTAAGAGTGGATATGATTCATAATATTATTGACAATAATAAAAAAAAAATATTCATTTCTAGCAACTTGTCCATTTCGTGCTGCTCTTGTTTAAAGGGATACTGCGAGGTTCTGGCAATTAATGGTGGATACCATTTTTATGTCTCTGCGTGCAGTAGGAAGGAAGTTAGCGGTAGTTTCACTAGCCAATGCCAACTAGCTTTAGTGGAATGATTTAAGTCAACAGGTACCAGACCTGGGTTCAGATAATATTTCAAATATCTCAATTACTTTCACATACAATGCCTATAGAAAGTCTACAGCCCCTTTTTAACGTTTTTCATATTATGCTGCCTTAAAATAAATCTAAAAAGGGATTAAAATAGATCAAATGGATTTAATTGTCATTTTATGTCAATGATCTACACACAATACTCACGTTAAAGTACAAGAAAAAATCCTTAACATTTGTGTAAAAGAAAAATAGGGGTTTATCTTGATTAGATTAGTATTCAACCCCCTGAGTCAATACATGTTAGAATCACCTTTGGCAGTGATTACAGCTGTGAGTCTTTTCTGGATAAGTCTCTTAAGAGCTTTGCACACCTGGATTATACAATATTTGCGCATTATACTTAAAATTATTCAAGCTCTGTCAAGTTGGTTATTGATCATTGCTAGACAACCATTTTCAAGTCTTGCCATATAATCTTTTTGCCGATTTTTAAGCCACTCAGGAACATTCAATGTCGTCTTTGTAAGCATCTCCATTGTAGATTTGGCCTTGTGTTTTAGGTTATTGCTGCTGAATGGTGAATTTGTCTCCTAGTGTCTGTTGGAAAGCAAACTAACCAGGTTGTCCTCTAGGATTTTGCCTGTGCTTAGTTCTGTTTCTTTTATCCTAAAAACTCCATAGTCCTTGCCGATGACAAGCATACCCATAACATGATGCAGCCACCACCATGCTTGAAAATATGAAGAGTTGTGTTGGATTTGCCTCAAACATAATGCTTTGTATTCAGGACATGAAGGTAATTTCTTTGCCACATTTTTTTTGTTGCAATTTTACTTTTAGTGCCTTATTGCAAAAGGATGCATGTTTTGGAATATTTTAATTATGCACAGGCTTCCTCCTTTTCACTTTAATTTAAGTTAGTATTGTGGAGTAACTACAATGTTGATCCATCCTCAGTTGTCTCCAATCACAGCCATTTAACTCTAACTGATTTTAAAATTTCTCTCTGGCAACTGAGTTAGGAAGGACGCCTGTGTCGTTTGTAGTGACTGGGTGTAATTTCTTCTTTCACCACGGTGGTCCGTGTGGTTTGACCATTTTTTTCTTCTCAGAGATGTGCACACTGAGGAATCTTCCACAATGGCCCGTTGATGAGGATGGGGGCATGCCCAGTACATCAACGGGGCCGTTGTACACAATCAGCTCCTTTTTTTTGTTTTGCTGATGTTGAGGGACAGGTTGTTTTTACCTGGCACAATTCCAACTCCACTTGATGGAGTTGGAACTGCGTGAGGCCACGCAGTCATGCGTGTACAGGAGGGGACTGAGGACGCACCCTTGTGGGGCCCCCGTGTTGCCTACGTTCACCACCTGGGGGTGGCCCGCTGGAAGTCCAGGAGTCCAATTGCATAGGGATGAGTTCAGTCGCAGGGCTGTGAGCTTAGAGAGCACTAATGAATTGAAGGCCGAGCTGTAGTCGATGAACAGCATCCTCACACATGCATTCCTTTTGTCCAGGTGGGTGAGGAAGCTGTGCAGTGCAATGGCGATTGCGTCATCTGTGGATCTGTCAGGGCAGTACGCGAATTGGAGAGGGTAGTTTGTGTCGGAGGGTGGAGGTGATGTTGTCTTAGACTAGCGTCTCAGCACTTCATGATGACAGGTGAGTGCTACGGGACTGTAGCCGTTCAGTTACTTTCCCTTTCTTGGGCATGGGGATGTTAGTGGTCATCGTGGCACGAAACAAACTGAGTGAGAAAATTTGAGAAAAAAAATTGAAACATGCAATGTTTAGTAGGGGTGAGGCGACATCCGTCGGCGCCATCTTGCCAACAGATAATGTACCTATCAACAGTTTGTCTAGGTGTGCTGGGGCTACCTTGCCAAACATGTCAGTCGTCATACGTTCCTGTATGATGTCCCATTTCCTCCCCATTGAGAGTACCATTTGATTCAATAATATGAAAAGTAATAGACGCATAATTTCATTGAGTGCAAGGTCTCTCTCCATTCCGAGACATCCGCATCAAGCCCGTCTGTCAGTCTGTACTCCATCACATCTTGCAAGTCTCCCAAGTGCTGGCTCCATACAGGTATCTGTGAACACATACACACAGTAAATGTTCTATTATCAATGGCATTTAGAATAGGTGATATCTGACACAGGTACTATGTTGAAGTTTGAACAGGTCAGATTAAACCTATGTAATTCTGTTCTCCCCATTGATGACCATTGGTGAGCAGGCAAGAGGTGAGGCTGGAGGTGAGGTCTTTGCCAGAGCCCCATTGATGGGCATAGCAGCGTAGATCAGCTCCTGACTCCTCATCAAAGATACAGGTCGGACACACACACAACACTGATTACATTATCAATGGTGGTTATGATTAGCCTGGTGGAACCAACCAATATCACTGCGTTCACCTTTCTATTTCACTTAAGATATCATAAAATGTGAAGTGAAATCGAATGGTTAACATAGCGATCAGGCTGTTTCCACCAGCCTAAGTTATGCCCTGGATGTTATGTGCACCTAAGAAGTAGAAAATCAGCGCAAATAATGGGTCAGCGAAAGTCAGCTATGCTTAGGGTGATGATAATGATTATCAAAATATACATAACCAGCAATCTATGGTCTAGCTACCGGTATACTCTCCATCATTGGGGACCAATGAACTCCAGCCACCTATTCCACATGGTAGGGTCTTCGGCAGGGCATGCAAACCATAGTTGGCTTTGCATCCTACTGGAAGCGTGCATTGTTGAGCCGGAGTCTCAAACAGCCGTGAACCTTTGAATGCATTAGGGGCTATGAAACAACAGAACCCCATTCAATGAAGGGATGCGAAGTGGACGACGGGGCGATTTGCACATGGAGCTTGGCAAAAGGGTGTGTGAATTGTTGACATAATTGTAATCCAAACCCAACCTTCATTTACTCGTGACGCACTCAGGTTCCAAACTCTTTTTTTTAGACATGACTGGCTTTATGACAAAAAATGTCCTATTTACACTTTAGTCAATTTTGACACTGGAATAAATGTTTGACTCGTATCGATGCCACAGGTCGTTTTCAAAGGGATTAGTTCGCACCCTTGTGTCAATCTAGCACAAGAAAAAAATAAACATAAAAATGTGTCTGTTTTAAGCTAGAGATATGTTTTTTGCATGGGCTGCGTCTCAATCCCCCACATCCGCAAATGTCTGCCTTCCGTATCTGCGGTGGAAAGTGGCAGAGCTACAGCACTGTTTGTCAGACCAGAGGTACATTCAAAGCTTCTGTTTGCGAATGCTCATGGCAATTATTATGTTTTTGAAAGTTTTTTAACATGAATGTTCAATTTCTGTTAGTTTCTGTTCTTGGCAAAACTGAAATGGATAAGAAGAGCAGCTGGAGCAGATTTTTATTTTATTTTATTTTGGTCCTGGTTCTATTGAAGCGCTGCTTCCCCTACTAGCAGTCACTATTGATGATGAGTTCGGGAAAATACAGATTTGTGGAGGAGGTGATCCCGACATAAAGCAACCTTTTCCCCTTTCGGGCTCACTTTCGGATGGGACGGGAGACCTTCCAGGTAATTTGCATATTGTATTTTGCATGTTGTATAAAATCAATCAAAATAAAAACAAGCCCAGCCTCAATGATCTAGCTGGCTAGCCATCCACAGCTTTGCAGTCTCAATGATCTAGCTGGCTAGCCAACCACAGCTTTGCAGTCTCTATTTGCGTTGTTTGGAAGGCAGCAAAATGTAACAACTGTACGAGGGGTGTGTAGACTTTCACAAGTTACACACTACACGACTGCTGCTATTGGACTCCTATGCTAAAATATTGCACAAAACACTTTGCTCTCCATTTCCCCCTTTCCCGGCAGACGTGTAAATATAGGACTGTACATTTGTTTGTTGCCTTTCTACATTTGTATTCTGTTTCTATTCCATTGAGCTATTTTTATTTATTTTCTGTTGTCGCATTGTCTAGAGGTTAACCTGCAAGAGCATTTCATTAAACTGTGTTCACGACACAAACTTAACTTGAACTTGTTGCCTGCAGGGGTTTCTGCCCAACCATCAGCCTGTCACTCAACCCTCACTCAGTGTCACTCAATGTTCCTGATGTACATTAGATGCTGCTATGTACAGTATTTGACCTCACTGCTATCTAAATACTGTCTGTTTTTTGTCATGTTGTCACGCTACTTTGTGAATACCCTCAGACTGGGCCACCAACAAAAAATTTAACAATTGAGCAAATGCATCCCATGACATTTCCACATGCAAATAACACTTAATTGACTTCATACATCTGTAGTTCTTAAGTAATGACTCAAACTAACATGGTCCAAGCACACCAAGACAGTCCTGAAGAGGGCACGACAAAACCTATTCCCCCTAAGGAGACTGAAAAGATTTGGCATGGGTCCTCATATCCTCAAGGTTCTACAGCTGCACCATCGAGAGCATCCTGACTGGTTGCATCTCTGCCTGGTATGGCAACTGCTCGGCCTCTGACCACAAGGCACTACAGGGGGTAGTGCGTACGGCCCAGTACATCACTGGGGCCAAGCTTCCTGCCATCCAGGACCTCTATACCAGGCGGTGTCAGAGGAAGGCCCTAAAAATTGTCAAAGACTCCAGCCACCCTAGTCATGGACTGTTCTCTCTGCTACCGCACGGCAAGCGGTACCGGAGCGCTAAGTCTAGGTCCAAGAGGCTTCTAAACAGCTTCTACCCCCAAGCCATAAGACTC